AGGTGCAGTTTATGGGTGGGTGGTATAAACTAGTATATCAGATCAGATGCAGTTTATGGGTACATTGTCTAAATCATTTATCAGATCAGGTGCAGTTTATGGATGGGTGGTATAAACTAGTATATCAGATCAGATGCAGTTTATGGGTACATTGTCTTAATTATTTATCAGATCAGGTGCAGTTTATGGGTACATTGTCTTAATTATTTATCAGATCAGGTGCAGTTTATGGGTACATTGTCTTAATTATTTATCAGATCAGGTGCAGTTTATGGGTACATTGTCTTAATTATTTATCAGATCAGGTGCAGTTTATGGGTACATTGTCTAAATTATTTATCCGATCAGGTGCAGTTTATTGATACATTGTCTAAATTATTTATCAGATCAGGTGCAGTTTATGGGTACATTGTCTTAATTATTTATCAGATCAGGTGCAGTTTATAGATACACTGTCTAAATTATTTATCAGATCAGGTGCAGTTTATGGGTACATTGTCTAAATTATTTATCAGATCAGGTGCAGTTTATGGGTACATTGTCTAAATTATTTATCAGATCAGGTGCAGTTTATGGGTACATTGTCTTAATATTTTATCAGAACAGGTGCAGTTTATGGGTACGTTGTCTAAATTATTTATCAGATCAGGTGCCGTTGATGGGTGGGTGGTATAAACTAGTATATCAGATCAGATGCAGTTTATGGGTACATTGTCTAAATTATTTATCAGATCCGGTGCAGTTTACGGTAGGGTGGTATAAACTAGTATATCAGATCAGGTGCAGTTTATGGGTACATTGTCTAAATTATTTATCAGATCAGGTTCAGTTGATGGGTGGATGGTATAAACTAGTATCTCAGATCAGATGCAGTTTATGGGTACATTGTCTTAATTATTTATCAGATCAGGTGCAGTTTATGGGTGCATTGTCTTAATTATTTATCAGATCAGGTGCAGTTTATGGTTACATTGTCTTAATTATTTATCAGATCAGGTGCAGTTTATGGATGGGTGGTATAAACTAGTATATCAGATCAGATGCAGTTGGTTGTCCGCACCATTACCCGTTCGTGGGAAACGTCTTGGGCACGTTTGCATTCACATTTCCTCCAGCCCACTTTAGAACTGGAATAATTTTGAAAGAAGCCCCAACTCATCGGGGGCTTCTCTGCCTGCAGACAGCACCATGGCCAAGCCCACAACCACTCCTGCATCCACAACAACCATCACCAGCTGCTGTCGAGCCAGGTGGTCAGCAACGTCATCGCCGACATTGACAAAGATGGCGACGGCATTGTGGAGCCAACCGAGGTCAAGGCGGAGTTCGTCGCCAGATATGACGTTGACAGTAGGATAATCATTATGATAAGAATCGGTGCCCTGTAACCTATGCTTGTTGCAAGACTCGACTGAAGTGTTGGTTGATTTGTTGTTTTACGCCTCACTCGGCAATATTCCTGCTATATGACGGCGGTCTGTAAATAATCGAGTCTGGACCAGACAATCCAGTGATTGATATCATGAGCATCGATCCACACAATTGGGATGACCTGCATCAACCAAGTAAGCAAGTCGGACAACCCGATCCCGATAGTCGCCTCTTACCGATTGAAGTTCATCGCGTGGTTAAGCTCGGTGCCATGGCCAATTTCGCGTCGTTGCTCTGCTTTCTGTCATTGGTTTGACTGAATATGGAATCCTTAAAGGGACGTAATCGCCCTTTGGTAATATATAAAATATCATTCAAAGCGCAACAATGTAACAAATGGCCAAAATGTCGCGTTGTCGCATTGTTGCATTGTTGCGCTTTGGTTAATTCTGACACTTTCTGCTTGTTTCCCTGAGGGCGACAATGCGGATCCCTTCTTGGATTCTATACCTAACCCTCGATTATTTTCAGGCCATTTTGATACAGTTGGCATATTGGTAACAAATATAGTTTCCATCAGCCATGTCTTACCTAAATCGTCATCAATCAGTCAATTTGACATCCTATTTCCTAGCAGGGGCAGTACCGTAAACCCTCAAATAACGGCAAGGGACCCAGACAGTATTTTGCCAATGTTGATCGCATCTCAAGAAGGGACTGGCCATTTGATAGTCTGGATATTTAGAGAATAATCAACGAGCTACGAGAAACAGATAATTCCGAATCTTGAATAGATTATAGAAAAAAAGATTAAGAATAAAGACTCCTTCCCCCATGTGTAGTGTATACAGTATAGTTTTGCTGACGTCATAATAGTTCACGTCAAAACAATACTTTTTTACACATAGAGCAAACTTTATTACTTTTCAAAGAGGCCGAATTTAAGACTAACCTCATGTTATATTAGAGCTGGGTTTAAAATCAAATCTGTAATGACCAGTTATGTAAAGTGAAAATCCTCGAACAGGTATTATTGTCGGGCTCTTCCACCTAATTGCCTGCACCCTCACGTTAAGAGGCATATTTTACTTTCGAGATATAATAATACACCACTAAAATGGGAAGTTTATTATCTGAATAGGTCATATTTCATTGTTTGGTTACCCATAATCTCATAGAACAATAAGTGGAATTTTTAAATTTACGTTTTCATAATAATTTGCTTCAATTTAATCACGTGACTCCAATAGCGACCGTTTTGTTTGACTTTAGTTTATTGCTAAATGACGTTTGCTGACTAACAGGTGGTTATGAAACCTATCAAGGATTGCTCATTGCGCATCTTCCCGAGGCTTTCAAAGTCCAGTTAAAACCCTTGCCGAACTAGGCTGGAATTCCTGGGCTCGATCGTAGCGTCACCAGTGGCTGTTACGAGTTAAGTCCCTTCTATACCTCTCCTATGGACCAATCAGATTCCACCTCTCGTATCACTTGCATTTGCTTCAAACAAAATTGCGGCGCCCAGTCAAGACGATCTGATCGACAATCAAGATCTATATTGTGATAAAACGAGTCTTACATCGCGAAGTGCATCAAATCACGTCAGCGGCTTGATTATAAACTTGAACAGATTTGGAAAATATCTGTTGACAACGAGTTGGCGGTGCACATACTGTGCAAATCCTGCAATCGACCAAAATCTGCATGATAGTTTACGAACCGGATTTCGATTTCGCTGCGCGATTTTGATTGGACTATGCATAGACTCGTTAGTCCAGCCAAAATATAACTCCACACCTGCAGCCCAGTTCGGCAAGGGTGGAAACTGGACTTTTATAGTCAGTTAATTGTCTTGCCTCGTGAGATGCTCATTCCGTTACCCAGAGACAGACATAATTCCTAGAGCACCAACGCCCGCCTCGGACAGTTTCAGACTGCTTTGGCACGGGCACAGTGGTGTATGTATGTCTGGGAGATGCCTGCGGCATGATATATGACTGACATCATCTTGCCATATTTCTTCCCACGTAACATTATTCAAATATTTGGCAAGTTTAAAGAAACTCCTTAACCGAAAATTGACGTGGATGCGCCATCTTGCTTGACAGTAATGAAAGAACGGTGTTACCAAGGATACGTTCAGATCACGGGGGTGGAACTTGAACAGCGCCATGATGTCAGTCCATTATGACGTAATTCAAAAAGTGTACTTTATCGCAGGTACACTTCACTGAAGGATGCCTATTGCTCAAATGACGTGATGTAATCAATGTGGGTCGCGATGAGTAAGTGAGTGAGTGAGTATTGTTTTACGCCGCTTTTAGCAATATTCCAGCAATATCACGGCGGGGGACACCAGAAATGGGCTTCACACATTGTACCCATGTCGGGAATCGAACCCGGGTCTTCGGCGTGACGAGCGAACGCTTTAACCACTAGGCTACCCGACCGCCCAGTGTCGCGATGAGCAATGGATGACGTTATATCGGCTTTTACTCAACAGTAAAGCGTTGTGACGTATTATGGCTTCAAATGAACACCCAACATTGAGAATCGCTGAATGCACATGTGCAATTATCGGAAGGCGTTTACACACGATCCTTCGACCCGTATGGGTAATATAATATAATTTTACACAAAACAAACATGTTTGCTGGAAATGCTTGATAGTATGTTGTAAAAGGACATCGTGTGCCTTGAAGCAATATTCTGTCTCTGACAAGAATTCAAGTGTATGATATATGTACATGTATAATGATAAATACCCTGGCCCCTATTCGACACCTTAGCTTCCTTGCTCACCAACTCTCTCTCATTCTCTCTCCCTCCCTTCTCTCACTCTGTATCTCTCTCTCTCTCTCTCTCTCTCTCTCTCTCTCTCTCTCTCTCCCTCCCTCTCTCCCTCCCTCTCTCTCTATCTCTATCTCTCTCTCTCTCTCTCTCTCTCTATCTCTCTCTCTCTCTCCTTCTCTCTCTTACACTAACTTAGCACAGAACGCATCAAGAGTGAAAAATATTGGTGCAGAAAATATTTGAAAGATAATAATGCCTTAGGTTTTACGAAAATATTATGTTGTTTCAGAAAACGGCAATATCACAGAGGATGAGTTTGTAAAACAATGGCATCAGCACTACCACGACGATCGCGACTTTGTCGGCTACCTCTTCGACAATTTCGACGTGAACGACGACATGAGTCTAACCGACAGTGACCTCGTCGCTTGGTCAAAAAATCTCGATACTGACGGTGGGTGCTCTTTCATGTCCCTTTCAGGTTACAGGAAGGGGGCGAGGAAGGGGGGGGTGTGGGGGGGGGGGGGGGGGGGGGGGGGGGCAATACCTCTCTGCGTGTAGATCTGCGAACACACCCATAACACGTCACATTACATTAATCTTGAGGTACTAAACGCCCAATCAAAGTGAAGGATTTGTAGGTTCTTGATCGATCAAGGCAGGGCGGGACAACTTAGGAATGGCCAGGAGTCAGAACTTGACCACACAGAAGGAAGCAAGCTACAAAAACATGTTTTATATCACTGGAAAGCTCTCGAGGAGACGAATCCAAATAATGTGTGTCCCAGTGTGTTCACATGTTCATAAGCTCAAAAATTGGCTCAGAAAATGCATTACTGCAGAAATTTCTGGCAGTATTTTTTTTTTCTACAGAAATTTCTGGCCGAATTTTTTTTTTTCTACAGAAATTTCTGGCCGAATTTTTTTCTGCAGTAATATTTAGCAGAATTATTTTAATTCAGGAGAAATAAGATTCAATCATTGGATAGTTTAACCTGGAGTTGCTTCAAATGACCTTTTTCCTCAAAACAAACATTTTTAGTTCACATGATTACAAGCAATAAAATAAAACTAATTTCGTGAGATATTTCAAAAAAATATTTATTCACATGCTATATTACAAGACAATTTCTTGGGAGACTTTGCACTTTTCATTCTCATGAATGAGTCGTATTTTCTTGGGTGAGGTGATTTTTTCAGAGATGGGTCCTGTCACAAAAGAAAATAGATGTATAGATGAGTGGATCCATATTGTCTAATATAATGGATAATGGCAGCCTATACGCAGCTAGAGTTTAACTTTACAATAGAGTCTGCGGAATAAAATGTATTATGAATGTAAATAGTGTGCTTTACTTACGTTTTCTTCTCAACATATTTGAAATGAATTCTTTTTTTCGTCTGGTCATTGAAAGCTATGTGCACATATTCTGAAAAGATATGAAAAAAACATTAAAATGCTTTTCATTTCAGTAATTAACACATTCCACAAACTTTAGGCACATGAACAAAGTAAGATAAGTGAGGTGAGTTGAAATTGGGTTGAATGTCGCGTCCAAGATAATTGCACTTATATAGCATGTGCGTGCGTGCGTGTGAGTGTGTGTGTGTGCGTGCGTGCTTGTGCTAGTCGTCTGCATCTCCCGTTTTGTATAGGTCACTCCATAAGTTGTCAGTGACTGCATACTTGTGTAGGGGGCACTCAATGTTCACACTGTCATGAAGCTGAAATTATATAAGGATGAGTATACTGCGAAAATTACATTGGATTAATTGGTTAAAAGAGACTTATGTATCATGTTTGGGAGAGGCATTCAGATAAGCAAAATTTGCTTGTTTGCCAATCCCTCCACTTTATGGAAATAAATATGTTTATATCAAGAGACTTCTAAACCATAACCGAACTCAAAACTAACCCCATGTGTCGTAAATGGGTGCTCTAAGGTAAAAGGATGGTAAACACGTGTTTCATTGGCAAGGGGTACTCAACCCTTATGATCGGAAAGGGGGTCCAAGGACAAAGGAGAGACCAGACCTACTACCCAGAGGGGCCAGCCTGGTACAAGACTTAGCGTAAAGCTAGCCTAGTCTATGTCATCAGCAGCTGGTCACTGCGGCGGAATGTGGTTTTGGCGTTGCTGTTCAAGTTCGAATTTCCGATAGGCCTGTCTCCACTAAAAAAAAATAGATAAATTTTCGGACAGCATAATCTGATGTCAGATCTTAAAAAAGTCCCGAACGACTGTGAAACCATGGTAAGAAGTATTATTATTATTGAGGTGAGGTGAAATTGGGTTTAACGTCGCGTCCAAGATTATTGCACTTATATAGCGACGTGCGTGCACGTGTATTTGTGTGTGTGGCTGCTTGTACTAGTCCGGACTGATGCCGATTTATAGTGCTAGCTCACTGAGATACCATGCCGCAGTTTAACATGAATACCCCACTCAGACACAGTATACTGACTCCGAGCCGACCAGTCCTTGTTTCAGCCCCTTAATGCCGAGCGCCAGACAGGGTAACAACAAGTACAATCTTTTAACGTCTTTTTGTATGACGCGGCCCGGGATCGAACCCTGGACCTTCCGCTCTCCGGGCGGACGCTCTACCACAAGACCACGGAGGCGGTCTATTATTATTGAAGCAACCTTCCCAAATGTGTGTGCTGCATAAGCCGGAGTGGTTCCCCTTGAATTTCCAAAATATGAATCGACAAACGAAACGAAACATATCCAGTTGGGGGTTATTCTTTTTTAGTTTGGTGGGAAAATGATATGAAACACTGGGGTCTGACTGACTGATATAGGAGATTTAACGTGCGCTTTCCGACTGTAGCGTATTTCGCACACGGGCCTGGCCGGACCATTTATTGTATTCCGAAAAGGGTGAAAGTGATGTGTGCAACCCAAGAGGGGGGTTTTAGGGGTTGCTTATATTGAAGTTTTGGAATTTTTAAATTTGGAATAAATGCCGAGGTGGGTGGAGGAGGGAACTAAGGGAGCCGGGTGAGGTGGATGTTTGTATGTTTATTGGATTTTGGATTGGTAGAATAATTAGTTTTTAGATGCGCTTAATTAGGTCTGTTTTGATTAGGAATACGCCTAGGGCCTTGAAGTTTTCTGGTATATTTTGAGGGTTTAGTATTTAATCTAGAGTAGGAACCTTATTTAGATTGAGGGTGGTTTGTAGTGTGGTTCTGTGTGTTTGGTAGTGGGTGCAGTGGATGAGTGCGTGTTCTGTGGTTTCGGGTTGTTTGCAGTGGGGGCAGTTGCCTGTGATGTGTCTTTTAAGGTTTTTTAGGTGGTTATTTAGGTTCGTGTGTCCTATTTGGAGTTTTGTAATAAATCTGTCAATTTTTTTAGAGAGGTGTAGGATTTTAGGTTTTGGCTAGTGGTTTTCTGAGCACTTTTTTGATTTGGCTATTTGAGTTTTGATATTGATTATGCCATTTTATGGTTATTTTTTGTTTGTTTACACTTTAAATTCCCCCCCCCCCCCCCTAAAGTAGCACGCTAAAGGTTTTCAATATATTCGATAACATACTACTTAGATGCGAACTGTTTAATTGACAGCTGTTAATTGGTAACGGTCAAGCCTCAGTGAATTTGCATTGGGAGTGTGTGTGTGAGGGGGCGTCTGAAATAAAGGTGGATTCAGTCGGAATAAAGATAAGATAATGATCTCATAAATTTTATTGAAGGCTTTGAAAGTTTAGGATCGGCGAGACCGTAACACAGAGTAATTAACAAAACGATCACGTGATCGTGGCGCTGATAGACAAAACCCACCGACCACGTGCGCGAGACAATGTATCACCGTATGAAGTGACAATACCCGGGGATATTTAATTGCCAAGTTGGCAGGAAGTCTTGCGGCACGGCACGTACAATATGCGTCGTTTGGGTATTCTATATTGTCTCAGCACCAGCTTTGATGGGGCAATAAGAAAAGATGATATATATGTTTATTTTAGGAAAACATTAATACAACAATTTGTTATATTAATATACATAGGGTCTATAAAGTTATTTTTATCTAAATATTTCTAACGTTATAAATAATAGAAAACTGGCATGTAAATCATCAAAATACTGCATGGATTGGTATTTTGTAATTTTCCGTGTTTTCACTTTCACTGATCACCACAGGCAAATTCATGGTCACATAGCTACACTACAAGTGTCGCCATACAGCTACAATAAGTTGCCTAATGTACATGTAGACAGTATACAAGTCGCAATAACACCATAGGGGATGGAGATATCTCCTTTTCAGATTAGATTGTTTGCGTATTTTTTTATCAAAAGTGGTAGAAATAAATACACTAAAATTAGACTCTTACAAATCGCGTTTCGCATGGCAGCAGAGCCACACATTCACTGTTTGGAGTACAGGTTGTTATTTGGTTGTTGTTATATGAAATAACCGTGTTACCAAAATTCCACGTTCTAGGATCGGCGTTTCCAGAAATAAAACAACAAATATTTTGACGTCTTACCTGTATCGTAACTGCAAGACGGTAACCAGACGCTGTAACTCTGCTGACTGCACGTGGTTCGGGATCTTTGCTGTGGCTGAAATAAAGAGTGCTATGTTTTACAGAAAGAGACCACGTTGCTTGTGCCATTGTTCAAAGACATTGTGCGTAGGTACGATTCTGAATATACACGAATATATACAAGTCACATGACAAAGAAGGTATTTACATGAAAGATATTTCAAATCTCGATGTTAGAGACCTTGAGAAATGTAGATTTAACTGAATCCAATCCGATTTAGTGTTACTATCATTCATTACAAATGGATAATACGATATTGCATTATAGAGAGGGTAATTATAGCTACCTGAAGGAGCAACCATATGTCCACTCTTTGATGTTGCCGCCAAACCGGACGCGTTATTGTAACTCGCAAGAACACTGTGTACACAGCTTCTTTCTAAATTTGGAGTAGCGTAAGTGTGGTGAAAGAACAATATGAATGTAAGTCAGGCATGAAGTTGCACGGAGGAACCAACGTGAGACTTTATAATCACATGGTTGTTCATATATGTTGTTTAATGCGTGATAGGTATTACCGCTTAAAAGGTGGTTTTGTATTTATAATAAAAACTGATCGTTTACATTTAACATAGAATATAAAAATAGTTTTGTCTGGGTAGCAACATAACTGTTGCATAGGGTATGTTGTTTAATGATAATACTATATGAAAATTCCTCGAGCCAGCTGACTTACACTATGGATAGTGTACAAGGCAACAGTTATAGAACATCACGTGATAAAGTTGATGGAAACGGCAAAATATTTATTTACAATATATGTGTTTCCAGGGGAAGAGCCTGTTACAAAGTCTGTGTCTAAAAAAAAGTAAACTCGCTCCTTGTCGGACAAAACTGAATGTAATTAAGTTAACTACCTATGTACAGTATCAGTGGAGTACTTGAATTAATATCAAATTGTAACCCGAGATGCTGGTGCCACACCTTATTACGTGACCACCCAGTGAGGCGTAAACACTCAGGGGCATGATATACACCCTTGTGTTTGATTTGATATACCAATCAGCCGTGGACGCCCGACCATAAAAATGGTATATATAGATTTAACCCTAATCAGGTATCGTTAAATATCGTTAAATCGTCGAGAACGTTCTGTCAGACGATCAAACGATAACAATTCAACAAGTCGGTAAATCACATCGAAAACCCAAGTTCTGGTCGCAGTGAGAAGCTCTGGATACCTTGAGGAGGGTTCACCAGCTCTGCTTCAACAACGTTGACATGGGTAAGGCATTTTATTCTATTTTTGTACACCAAACACTGTATATATCTTGAAGAACCTTTGCCTTCTGTTTGGATCATGGTTTCTTTATGAACATATTCACTGAACATGTTGCTACCCTATTACAGATCTTACCAACGTCATCAACAGTCAAGGCAGACATCTTTCTTCAAGAAATCTGCCCAAAAGGAAAAACACTGAAATTGGTAAGTAATGCTTATGTGCAATGTCGTTAACTATAGTTCATTTATTGCATCGGCACTATTAGGTAGAGTTGAGCTACGAACGCGAAAATAAACTGGTACGGCGAATGTAGGGGTGAGGTACTCCATCGGCTTCGTTGCGCTGGGTTTTTTTACCACCACCGACTGTGTTGCCAATTAAAATTTCGTTTCGGAATCAAAGCACGGTGCATGTTTGTTTTTTTTATCAAAATGTCAACATGATCTAGGAAAGGAAGAGCCAGGGTTCTGCGAACATACGCGGATTGTGTAGCCTTTATATATATATGGTTTCGCGTGGCATTATATTGGTGTTACGTACGTAGTATACCAGGTAAGTGTTGCCCTCGTTGCCCACAGGGCCATGACTTAATTAGGGTGCGAGTTGGTGGGTGGCTCGGTCTACTCGGTGGTGCTAACAGTAGGCGTAGGGCTAGGCAAGTTTACGAGACATACTCTCGCGTGGACCTAGTGATAGAACCCTTTCTTCGTTTTGAGAGGACATGTCGATATCGAATTTCGCGAATTTTCTTCTCGAATTTCTGGGCAACAATGCAGTTTACCGGGCGCAGCCCGAGCTCTACCATCCGCTCAATTACCGCGCTATAGTGCCACGCTGTCTCGTTATACCGTTACCGTGCCTCACGCTCTGGTGACTCTCGCTTCACGATCCAACACCCGTTTTCGGTCTTAGGGAAACTTACACATCTTTACAATCAAACACCCGTTCTCGGTCTAAGGGAAACTTACACATCTTTACGATCAAACACCCGTTCTAGGTCTTAGGGAAACTTACACGTCTTTACGATCCAACACCCGTTTTTCGGTCATTAGGGTTAGCTGGCTTTGGGCAAGGGTTAGCCATAAATTCTTACTTTTTCAAGCGTTAATTCAGTTAATCCCATTGGTTGTTGACATAAACAATTGCGGGTGTGGTTTCAAGAAAAGATGAATGGGAGAGCGGGCCGTGACGTCACACGCATGCGCAATTCATTGTTTACTCAATTACACATGCATGTCAATGGTGATTCTAATGACCTGTTAAACGAGCACTGATTACTTGTGATAGGCCTGTGGTCCAGTGGTAGAGCGTCGGCTAATTAACGCATTAATTAGCAGAGCCGGTGAGTCGGGGAAGCGCGTTCGAGCCTCAACAGCGCTAATTGGATCTGAAAAAGTGCGCACTTATCCCGATTTAATGGGTCATTATTGTGTAATTGGTATCCAAGCACAACATGTCTTTTTGTGATATTTCCTTTCCAGTTTCCAGTGAATTCTATGCTTGTCTTAAGAGGCGACTAACACTATTGCGTGGTCAGGCTCGCTGACCTGCATTGATGCTCATGATATGAATCTCTGAAATGTCTGGTCCAGATTCGATTAATTACAGACCGCTGTCTTATAGGTGGAATATTGCTGAATGCGGCAGTAAACAACAAACCAAACCAAAACATATATTACTGTCTACATATCCTATTGGTAGGGAGTTATGTAGATGTTTATTTAGAAACCAGTGGAGCTTAGTATCCACAGTGCACATATATGGGTTACGTTATTGTAGTTTGTCCAATATTATTAGTAAAGGATGTAATGGGATTTGTTTTGTAATGGGATCGTGCCATGTATGTCAAGACATTTGTTTGTACATTATATTTGTAACACACGTTTAGAAGGATAGAAATTTATCTTTGTCTTAGCTAAATGCTTGGTACGGGCCTGTTGAATAAATTCAATGTTTGTCTGGTAGGCTTGTCTAATTTTGGAGGAATTGTGGATTTTTGAGAATGGAAATTGGCAATTGTTATATTTGTATGACTATCCAATTACATTAAAGTTGCAATTTATGTATTGTTCAAATATTTATTTGACATTTCCAGGACCAGTCAAGCTGCAAGACTTTGTCGGCCAGTCAAAAGTGGACGCTGCAATCCAAGGTATCACTTTTAGTGCTATCATGAAGATAGTTATCAATGAAATTATTGGTATATGACTCCACATACAATATCATGTATAGCATATTTATTCCTTGAGGCTATACTATACAATTCAAAGTAAATGCTGAAGTCACATGTGGTTAATATTTTTATAATTTATGTAAATTGTTTTAAACCACATTAGAATTGTTTTGAAGCAAGTATTTCATGTCCAGTTGCTCATCCTAAGTATAAAAGAATCTGCACACAATGTTGAAACTATTTAAATGCACAAGATTGATTTTTCTCTCAATATTCAAATCAATATTCTGTAAAAATAAACAAGTTTTGTACAATTTGATTTGTTTTCATAGTGATAATACTGATGTAAATACTATTTTCAGGTGAAACTTTCTTTCTCATGGTGGGGCACACGCATGAAGATTTGGATCAACTGTTAAGTGTTTAGTGCAAGGGAACTTAGACAGAAGCCTGCAACAACCCGCGATGCCCTCCTTCAAGATTGGGGACATCCGGACACCCACCACCAAGCTATCAGACTTCAAGCCCTTCATGCCTGCCCCAAGGGAAGCGACAACCTTCCCAACTAAAGTTCAAGAGGCAATAGAGAAGAACAATGAAAAACTGCAAAAACAATCAAAGGTAATTTCAATAAATATTGCATTTCTTTTGAAATATGTATTGTGATGTGTAATATTAGGGTTAGTCAGCGTTACTTAGAGTATGTGTAATGTGGGCAGAGAAACAACCCAACTTCATGAGGTTACTATTTTTGCTTTTATTGTATAGATGCACTGTGATTTTAATTATGTTCTCATATTCTTTACATTTTTTTTCTTTACTTTCAGATCACTCTGACAAAGCACCGAAGACAAGCGTCAGTATCAGAACAATAAAGAAGGAGCAGCAAGTTTTGCTGAAATGAACATATTTTTTGTCTAAGCTATGTGGCTGAGATATTGCCGAGGATTGCATTGCAGGAGTTTTGTACTTTGTATGTTTTTGTTTCTTAGTAAAGCTGTGTATTTAGAATTGTATATATATATACATATATAAGATGAGATGTGCACAATGAAATTTATGAAACAATATATGCAGTTATATTGTAAAATCTTGGTTGTGTTCTATTTTTTTCCATGTCTGAAGTTAACCTACTTTCAGAGTACCGTATATCACATGTAGGTTGTTTCTTTGAATTCCAACTGGGGATTATATATTTGGTTGGCCCGATGGAATAATTATGAAATTTATTTTTTGAGAATCACATTCACCTTTAATGTTGTACACTTCAAAGTCGTCAAAAGGCCATTGAAGATGGTCACTGACATTCTCATAATAATTTAGATAATTATAGGGTAAGCTCAAGGTTCAATGATTTGCATCTAACTAGTATACAAAGGTATGAGGCCAACATGTTGTTCCATTGTTTAATTCGAGTGACGTCAACTTTTCTTGATAAATTTGGTAAATATAATTCCAAGATAAATATCTTCAATTGCTGAATTCAATTCAAACTATCCAATGATTGAATCTTATTTCTCCTGAATTAAAATAATTCTGCTAAATATTACTGCAGAAAAAAATTCGGCCAGAAATTTCTGTAGAAAAAAAAATTCGGCCAGAAATTTCTGTAGAAAAAAAAAATACTGCCAGAAATTTCTGCAGAAAAAAAAAATTCGGCCAGAAATTTCTGCAGTAATGCATTTTCTGAGCCAATTTTTGAGCTTATGAACATGTGAACACACTGGGACACACATTATTTGGATTCGACTCCTCGAGAGCTTTCCAATGATATAAAACATGTTTTTGTAGCTTGCTTCCTTCTGTGTGGTCAAGTTCGGACTCCTGGCCATTCCTAAGTTGTCCCGCCCTGCCTTGATCCTAAAGCAATTCGGCTTCGTGTCTTTACCACCTACGGGCGTAATTCGGAAATTTCGGTTTATTCAAATGAAAACACAGGACACAAATAGTCCTTCATTGTTTCTCACTTTGTCGCCAGTTTCAGAAAATGTGAAAACTTTGGCCTTGACAGTCTCTTAAACAGAAAGATGGATGGAATGGCTGAACATATTAGTTGTCTCCCCTCTCTGTAACCCTTGACAACGGTTTATGTATTGCAGGAAATGGGGAAATCTCGATCGCAGAGTTCCAGCACTACATGATGAACGTAAGTCACGTAACAATACATTTTTGAGTGATACCCTGATACCTATCTGCCAACAATTTTACCTTCTCCTGAAGAGTTAGGCACCGTCAGTATGACCCATGCTAAAACAAAATGGCAGCCGAGATGGGCATCTTCCTTAAAAGGACGTATTTTCTATGGCATCGATCCTTTATCACTAAATTAAACATAACTAAATTTAGAAATAATCGGACAGAGGAGTTTCTCTTAACCAGACTTCGTCTTGGGCATTGTGGTCTTGGTGCTTATCTAAATGCTATTAATAAAGACATTTCTGCACATTGTACAGTGTGTAATCAACTTGATAATGTAGCTCAATTTTTATTGCATTTCCAAAAGCATGTTTATCATCGTAGGGTAATGGTGGAGTCTCTAACAGTTCTCAATATTGACTTCTCATTTTCTGGTATTTTATGTTCTAGGAATAGTGTTCACCAATTCAGAATGTCATTCTCGCTTATATTAAAGCGTGTGGCAGTTTTGATACTTTATAAAAGATCTAGGTACTTAGCAAACCTTTATTATGGGCAAGGTGTAAATGGGCCTAGTTGCCCGAACACCTATAAAACATTTAAGTTTAAGTTTATTTGAAGCAGATAAGTCAACTCTGCGTGTAACTAGGTTTAATGTAATAACAAATCCAAAATAAATATCAAAAGGCAAGCATAAACATCGACAATTAAAACCTATGGTCGAAAATGACCTGAAAATAGAAATTCCATAATGGTGTGCAACAATCTGATAAATTACAACCAAGGAGGTCACACCTCAACCAACAGGTAGTCATTTTGGTCACTTTGGTAACTTTGGTAACTTTGGTAACCAAAACGTCATTTACTTACGAATGACAACTGAAATTCCGTCACCAAGTTGGTTGGTTGGTTTGTTCTTTCACGCCGCACTTAGCAAAAATAAATACATTGAACGACAATATGTGGTCATGCATTACTTTTCATTCTGCTTTTCTGTCATGCTGGCATGTTTGTTTGTTTGTTTGTTTGTTGTTTAACGCCGCTCTCAGCAATATTCCAGCTATATGACGGCGGTCTGTAAATAATGGAATCTGGACCAGACAATCCCGTGATTAATATCCTAAGCATCGATCCACGCCCTTGGGATCGATGACATGTATCAACCACGTCAGCGAGCCTGACCACCCGATCCCGTTAGTTGTCCCTAACGACAAGCATAGTCATCTTTTACGGCAAGCATGGGTTGCTGAAGACCTATTCTACCCCGGGTCTTCACGGGTCAAGGATATATCTCGTATACATCTCTGACAAAATGGCGAAGGTGTCCGGTAAATGGATTCTTTTCAGTACATTGGATCCAAATACATCGTTCATGATTACTTCACAACAGATTGAATAACAAAGTAAAAAGGTTTTCATTGAGGAATATGTTTTATTAAAACGTATTTAAGAAATATACGACGTGTTTATCGTACAATAAAACACTGCAGGGAGAGCCCCGAGTGGTTTATACTCTCTACAGTGTTTTATTGTACGAAAACAACGTCTACAAGGCTTTTATTTCATAAATGAGACATCAACATTATGTTCCTCCTCTTTAAGGATGTTAATTAAATGTGCAAGCTTTAAACATATTAAAAAATGATGATTCCCTGAATAGAATCCGATCTCGGCAAAGTCCATTTTACGACATATTCACACAATCGTCATGTCGATTGTCTGTACCTTTTCTCCATATACCTATTGTCACATCTCTCCTGCTTTTGGATGCGATCGTTCGGCCACTGCGTTTATCTGCGTATTCCAGCTACATCAAAGGGGAACAACTTACTTCCGTCTACAAAATAACGTCGTCCAATATTTGACGTCATCAAGCGCATATTCGAATCTCCAAAAATGACGTCATGATAACATTGTTATACCTCTATTATCCATTGATAATTCCGTACCACGTGACGAAACAATACATTTCAACGTATAACCTCAAAATCATGTGACTGACACTGACCTCGAATATTGACTTGTCACATGATCAGTATTGACCTGTCACGTGATGAATATTGACAGCTTTGCTAGAAAACAAGACGGCGTCTGCTACTAACATTTCACGCTTCGCAGCTGGGTTAAAGTAACCACAGACGTACAGAGAGATACACTTCTTTGCTGTAATAAAACAGAGTATGGTTTAAAGACTACATAATCTTTAAAGGGAGTTAAGGTATAACAAAAAAAGGTTACTCCCGACGAGGTCAATAAGCGAAAACAAGGACCCTCAAGGGTCGCATATTGACCTCGGCAAGAGTAATTATTTGTTTAATGTTTTATCGGGAAATAAACCAAGTTTCGGTCTTCATTGTTCTTTGCGATTCATCGCCTAGCTATCTTATATTGTGCGATAAACAACTCCCACTCGTCGTTTATTTCTTAAGCAAAGAATGGCCCTGGAAGACCTCTGTTGCCCAAAGAATTAAGGGAACGGTTATTTATTATGGGGATGTGTATCGTGTTTGTGTGTGTTTTGCTGCTGTCTCTTTTTTATGTAAAAATATATCACTACAACGCACATCCTATAGTAGCATATTCTACTGACTTCCCCATTCGGTGTCACATCCCTCCCCTCCCCTCCCCTCCCCGCACAAACACACTACCACCCCCACCCCCATCCCCATCCCCATCCCCATCCCCATCCCCACCCCCAACCCCAACCCCACCCTCTTCCCAAATGTAATATTTGTTCATGACCCCGTCCTATGATTAATGGCCAGTACCTAAATAATGTTCAAATTTCTACCACATTATTTGAAAAAAAGGTATTATTTTTTCATGCCGACCCCCCACTTTCTCCGTGTAACTTTTCCATGAACCCCAGTAGCCCCCCGCTTCCTCCCTTCCCCCACCCTAGATATGTCCGGGAGAGGCGTGAACCACTCACTATGTCACTAAGAGACGTGTTAACTCTTCGTATGTTTCAGCTCTACACAAACTGTGTTACAGCTCACGGCAACTGATGTCCGCTGTGAAATAAAACATCGTGATCGACATTCCAAATGTGTTTTGTTTGTCAGAGTGGGTAGGAGGGGTCCCACTGTGTTAGTAGACAATGAAGATGAGCTGATGACGAGCGAAGGTCCGCTGTTGTGAGGGCCCAATATTTGGACCACTGGATCTGCGTAGATAGGATATGAGAAAACATTTACATACCACAATGAAAACCACGAAATGTGTTTTTTATGAATCAGAATTAGACTTTGTTCTTTACAATACTTCCATGTTTTGGATTTATGACAACACAGTCTACAAAGTGTAGAGGTTTTCAGGATGCGTTCATTCACACACTAACTCATACACAGACTCACTCACACACACACACACACTAGACGCTCACACACACTCACATTATCAATAACAAACACACTCACACAGATTCACTCACACACACACTCACACAAACTCATACTAAATTACGCATGTACTCGCACGCCGTACACACACACACACACACTCTACACTAACACACTCACACTCAGACACACTCACACACATGTCACATTCACACTCACACATACACTCACACAAACTCATACTAAATTACGCATGTACTCGCACGCCGTACACACACACACACACACTCTACATTAACACACTCACACTCAGACACACTCACACACACGTCACATTCACACTACACACACACTAACATACACACACTCACACACGCCGTACACACACACTCTACACTAACAC